GCTGTAGCCCCATTTTAGGTATTCCAATCAGTCATAGGCAGAAGACAGACTTACAAGCCTTCTAGTGTGGTGTTTCTGACTATTCCTTTCTCTCCCTCTCCAGTGTCTACTCTATATTTAGGTATGTTTTTTAAAGGCTCATGTATGTGATTTCCCTTTGCATGCTTAAAACGACTAAAGAAATTACATTTTCTTTCAAACAAATTGTGTAGACACTGCTCTTTCATCTTCTGGCATTGACTTATGCAGCAGGGAAATATGAGGCTAGTTCTTTTTTTTGTCCCCCCTTGTATAGAACTTGCTTTGCTATTCTTGGATTCACACCTTCTCATTAAATTTCAGTAGCTGTTTCAAAGTATATTTGGAGTCCGTAATTTAGGATCATTTTTCCTAAATACTGAATGTTCTTTAATATGTATATTCAAGGTGTGGCACTGTAAGAAAAGCACCATAAGGTCAGTGGTTCAAACTCTACAGCTGCTCCTTGGAAACACTATGCAAATTCACTATGAGTTGGAAATGCCTTGATGGCACTTAACAACAACAATGGTTCAGCTCATTTCAGCTCCTGCTACTATTTAATACTATATTCTCTAAAACTTTGCAAATCTTATTTTAATTATTGTTTCAACTTTATCTTAACCCTATTTGTATTTCAATTGTGGAGGATTTTTCTAAATGTTTCCTTTGCTACCTAGGGTAATTATCTTGTATTCTAATAACTATTGTATTATGAAACTTTTTCTATACTGATATCTTTCTGCTCTTGACCACAACCCTTGCTATTTTAGCAGAACTTACATACTTTATTCCTTTCTGATTAATCTTTGATTGGTATTAACTTTAAAGAATAGTATTAAAATGGAGTTTTAATGAGTTGTGAAAATCATAGCTTTTACTTTGGTTTGTTCCAATAGCCTTTCATCAAATCTCCTATTTCACTCTGGGATATAACTTTCTTTGGTTTCATATTCCAGAATTTTATGTGGCTCATAATGGAACCCCATAAACTGTCTGGTTGTTTCTCCTTCTGCATGCATCCACAGGGACACACATTCACATGTTAGAGGTTCTAACCAAAAGGCTTTTATGCTTCAGGGGGCCTGTGTACAGTCCAAGAACACATGTTCTTTATAGGAAGCAGCTATTCTTAAACTAGGATTGTTGGCATCCTGGCAGAACAGAATGGCCATAAACTTTTATTTTACCAAACAATTTGTTACAGCAGTTTTAGATTCATGGTCGAAGAAACTGAGGCCACTCGGAGAGGTAAAGCAGAGTTTCAGATTTTATTAAGCCGGCTGACTCAGAGGAGCTAATTTCTCCAGATTCTGAGCTCTGAATGGAGGGCAACAGGGGCCTATATGGGGTCAGAGTCAGGGAGGGGCCAGGCATACTTGTTTGAGGGCAGGGGGAAAACCAGGACAATCAGTCCCATTCGGTAACCTGATTAGCATTCTAGCTTATCTCTTGGGTGGGGAAGATTGGTCCAATTCAGTAACCTGATTAGCATTTTAGCTTGCCTCCTGGGCAGAGAGGGCAGTGAATTATTTTTACTTTTTCCTGTTCAAATTAAGAAATTAAGGTATTTATGTGCACTCCCCACAAAATTTAATTACTTAAATAAAAAATAGAAACATAATTAGGTCAAGTTAAATATGCCTGAATGCCATATTCAGTGAGGATTCTCCTTTGGAACCTCCATTGAAGATAGAATGTATATCCTGTTTTGGTTTCTCCCTTAGTATACTATTGGCTAGTATTATATTATTTCCAACAGGAATACTGGATGCTTCTTCCTTGGGAGGTTCATGATCCTAGGTCCAATCATCTAGATCCAAGGATTCACCTTTACCTCTGTGACAATTCTTTTCAGGGACTCTCTCCCTCCTGCTCGAGTGCAGCTGAAATAAGGAACTTCAGATTTCCTGGAGGTTCATAGTTTTTATTGTCCATCTGATATGTTTCTTGATTGGTTGAAGATGGTAAACTGTTTTATTTTTTAAGGCTATTGCTTTTCATTAATTCTGAGAAAAGCAATAAATAAAACATGGCTTTCACTATACTTTTTACTTTATTTTTCTCAAGGGTATCTACAGGCTGCTTCACCCTACTTCAACACTTCATTTTTTGCATAGCGTAGTGGCTACAGTTCGGGCTGCAAGCCGCAAGGTCAGCAGTTTGAAACTACCAGATGCTCCGTGGGAGAAAGATGAAGCTTTTCTGCTCAACCTCAGAAACCCTATGCAAGGTCACTATGAGTTGGAACTAGACTCCACTGCACATAACAACAACAGCAACAATGACTATTCAACTGTCCTCAAGTAGTAAAATCAAGGAATGCCTTTTCTATTGTTGAAATTCAGTTACTACATTGTGGATTATGTGGGATAAGAATTAGCCTCTCAGTAGGCAAGCCAGGCATCTATGTATATGCAGATTGGTTTCTGGAGAACAAAGAGAGCTCCAATGCTCTGCCTTTGAAACTATACAGTTCTTTCTCAAACTCTTTTATAAATCTTACATCCTCCAATCCTTTTAATTTCTTTGACTTAAAACTTTGCATTCTTTGTTAAAATTCTAGAACCCCTATGAATATATAAGGATACACTTTAGGATACACTTTATCCATTGCTTTTACTTTTGCAGGGTTAGCTTTTTAAGTCTTATTCTAAGAGCAGGTTTTGAAGTAAGAAGGAAGAACATGAGTATAGCAAATAAATATTTGTGAGAATTATGAGGGTGAGAAAACCAAGAAAGGAGACATACAAAGATAAACCTTACATTGGGTCTTAATGGTAGAGACAGGTACTCAGAAGTTTCAATTCCATTTTTCAAAGAAAGACCATTGATTCTGACTAGCAACAGTAGGGACTGTGATGAAATGCTTACCAGGTGAATGAATCCTGCAGCAGTGAACCACGTACTGAGAATTATTGATATGAGTTTGGAAAACTTCACTAAGCTACTGGAGAAAGAAAGACAAAAAGCTGTTGAGTCTTTTTATAGGTTACAGAATGGCACAAATGCCTTCTTCGCTAAGGTCTTGCTACGCAAACTGTGATTCATAAGCCAGCAGACATTGTGTCACTTAGGAGAATGTTAAAATGCAAAATTCCAAAACCCACCTGTCATCTATCATCTATGCATCTGCATTTTTACAAGATCCTCACCTTAATTTATATACACATTAGAGTGTGAGACACACATTAGAGTGTGAGTCCTAAGACACCAAGTCACACTTGTTAAAGAAGTTTGGATTTTTGCTGTGATATCACTAGCTTTATATTGCTCTTAGCAACATATTCTCTGTTGTTATTATTAAGTGTCTTCGATTTGGTTCCAACCTGTAGCGACCCTGTATATAGTTTCCAAGAAGCGGCTCCTTAGCTTGAACCACCGATCACACAATTCAAACCGACTTGGCAGTCCAGCACATTAACCCACAGTGCCACATGTAAATCATTATAAAATCGTTTAATAGATTTCCACATTGTCTCAGAAATTGTACAAAATGCATTATCACAGGCATCCAGAAAGTGGGATGGCAAAATGAAAATTTGAGATCACAAAAATGTAAGAGTCATATTGCTGAACAGGAAACAGGATCCTTGAGTGAAGAGGATCAGAGAAGCCCCACCTCTGTGGTTCTCAGGCAGGACCCACCTGTCACACACAAAACACTTTTCCCATTCTGATTTTCCTACAAGGTATTAACACTTCAAAATGAAATCCACCTGACCTGCAAAGTTCTATGCTTCCAGTCAGAACATAAGGGGGATTCAAACGTTAGAAGTGTAGCTACCCAAAGGCAGCATGGTTGTTGTTGTTGTAAAGGTCTGTTGAGTCAGTGTAGACTCATAGTGACCCTGTAGTAATTTGCATTTTTTCTTTTTAAACATTTAGGTGACTTTATTTCTATAAGCAATCATTCATGGCTGCTATTGGGCTACTCTGCTATTCATAAGATTTTCAGTAACTAAATATTCAGAAGTAGTTTGTCACTCCATCTTCCTTTTTTTTTTTTTTTTTCAATGCAGAAAGCATCAAAAGAAGATGAATGGAATACACACAGTCACTGTGCCAAAAGGAAATGGTTGATGTTCAACCTTTACAAGAGGTAGCATATGATCAAGAGCCAAT